ACAAACTGGAAGGAGTGGGTTATTTGATCGATTGCAAGAGAAAATCTACTCTCCTAAAAGTGAATTTAGTGCAAAGATCTAAAGCCAAAAAATCTTCTGCAATTGGTTTGGTTTATGTTGCAGCTCCTACTCAACAGGATGTTGTTGATGCTCAAAAAAATGTCCCATTTCTTTTCGAAAAAAGAATTTTTTTAAAAAAAACTAAAAATCTGACTGACTTTAATCATAATTGCACTGCTAGTGATCATGCTAAGACTCAAGGACTTAATGAAGACTACTTTATTCAACAAGTGTATTCTTAGCAAGAAGCTGGTACTGAGGAGCCGCAAAAGACAACAATGCATAAGTTTTGCTTTAAAGCATCCAAGAAACTTATGATTCCTAAACATACTTTAGCTGTCGCTCTGAAGTTCAAATCTACTTTTATGATATGCTCCTCAGTATAAAATTGGAGACGATATCATTTCTCTACAAGATTACAAGATGTATCTTTTTGCTATGACAACCATTGACAACAACTTTACTAATTCATAAAAGATCCAATCTTTTTCAATCCTGAAATTTCATATTATGACTTTACTATTTGAAAGCACATTTTTAAAAATTGCCACCATTTTATTTTTTTGCATTGATTTGTGACCATCATTTGTCTAGGACGCGCAATATGTCTTAGAATAAGCTTTGCAACATGTTTTTTCACACAAACATAATTCTATGTGGCAATGAAATATAACAGAGCTTGAGCTTAATTCTTTTGATGATGGTCACATATTATGTGGTTTTGAAAAATCATCAATCTCTAAACTTTGTGCCAAGCACAATATGCTAGATCTCAGACAAGTAGCTTCTAAAACCTTTGATCTTGGGCATACAAGATGGTGTGATTATGGTGTAACGCCAAGATGTGTTAGATTTGATAGATTCTACGTGTCTCATGCAGGCAGTCGATTGACTGATGTTTTGACATATTCTGCATCTTACAGAAAATAATCTATCCAACCAACATATCGATTCTTATGTAAGTTAACTTGGCAACGCTGTATTGTGCTGACGGCAAACTTTTCTTAGGTGATCTCACCACGTTCAAATGGAAATTTTCTTTATTTTGAAAAGTGCATGTGATTACCTACATTCAAAAGATTTGGCGTTAACTTCAAAAATGAGGAGATTCCTACATTCTTTACCACCACGAACTGCCTCAAGTTCAAATATTTTTTTGTGCAAAACAAAGAGAGCATAGAAGATGTCTCTCCTTGATCGACACTCTTTAAGCTGAGATAATCACCTTTCACACCACCAATCATGAGGAGCTTACTATTCAACAACTGTCTCGTCGTGGTTGGTTGCAGATTGAAAAGACATGAGACAACATGAAACAAATGTGGAATTTAGGCTGAGATCAAGAGTTAGACATCTTGGTTATAGTGATGTTATTGAAGTAGTGATACAACTCATTCCTACGACTGTTAACAAGATTGATCTCAAAGATTGGCAATTATTGACTATGTTAAACACCGCTTATAAATTAAATATAGAAATTCTAGCTAGCAGGCATCAAATACTTCTTCCAACACTCATTTCTTTTCAATATAGTGGATTTATTAAATGTCGCAATTTGCTTCATAAAGTTCTTAATTATAGATTTTAGATTATGACTATGATTTAGCCACATCTTGAAAATAATTCAAGATGCGGCTAAAACTTAAAATAATATAGATTTGTTTGTCAAACTTGAATTTGAATCACAATTACATGTGAAACACAATGATTAGGTGTGGTTTGGATAAGCACTTTGTTACGATTGTCCATGATCTTACTATAGACATCTTCATTGCTATGCAACTTAATGATTCTAAGACGTTTTATTTTATTTTTATAGATGTTCATCAAGGTTGTATTTTGACTATTTTGTTGTTTACTCTTGATACTCAACCCTTGATGGATGGGATGAAACATAATTTTGCTATTGGTGGTCTTAAAGGCTTCAAGATTGGCGAAGCATTTCTTCTTGATTATATTCTCTTTGCTAATGACATGGGATTTTTTCTATGGATTTTCAAGAGCTCAAAACTCTGTTGTTCAAATTTAAAATTAATACTGATGCTAGACTGAAATTGGCCAAATCTTTTATTTTATTTAATTCTTGCTTAGAATGGATATACCTCGTGATTGGCTAGCGCATGCTAGGTACAAATTGATGAAAGCTGTACTATACACAAATATCTTGATGCTCCTACTCGATAGGATTTAATTGTTAAGAAACGTAATGATTTTTGCACTAAATTGGTGTCAAAACTATCGGTAGTTGATATTCTACTTTTCTCTTCTTCAAATCACGAACTTTTTTCATATAGCAAGTGTTACATGCACAACCTACTTTTTATGCAAATTTGATGCGCTTTTAAACTAATTTGTGAAATTTTTTTGAACAAATGTATAGAAAATTTCTACGAGTATATATAAAGGAAATTGAGCAAAAATTATTCTTGTGTGATAGTAGTTTGATTGCAAGTCCAAGTCACAAGGAGGTTAAGGTGCCAGATGACTTGCATATTGTGATACTTCTATCATGGAGAAATGATTAGGAGGTAGTGTTGATGATGCCGGTTGTGTTTGGAAAAAACCGCTTGAAGCAATTGTGAAAATCAATTGGAAAAAATACGAAAAAAAATATAAGACATGATCATAGTTTGACTGATCTTATTCTAACCACTCAATCTCTTCATCTTTCTAGCACTAATATAAGATTTGCTCCTATGAAATGTTGGAATTCTATAAAGTCAAAGCTCACCTGGTACTTTTTGATATTCATATTCTTACGAACATTATTTTGAGAGACATTGTTAAGCTGATTCTTAGTAGGCTTGCTACTAGATCTCTGCGGACAACAGAGGTCTTAGAAATTATGTGTATGCTGAAGCTTACTCAGGTTGTTGCTTTTTGGATCAAAGGAGAGATTTTTCTTCTCTACTACATGCAAGAGAACAATGCAAAGAGAAGAGAAGAAAATTCTCCCATATATATATTTTTCAAAAAAAAATTGATTTTCAAAGTCATTGCAGATTTTTCATTGTGCTCTAGCACTGGTTAGAAGTTGAAAGACCTATAAGTGAATGACAATCTCACCCAAACAACAAATTGCTAGTATAGAGTTTGTACCTTTCGCCTTTTTCTTGTTTAATAACTAAACAAGAAATAACACTCAAATAAATTTGAAAACGGCTAGTGTAAGTTGTTTATTACTCTTTGGTCTTGCTAGAATGTGAACCAAGATAAGATATTTATGTATCGTGTTTTTCACCATGATTTGTAATCAAATAAATGTGATCCTCGTATAGGATACGACGATGATATCTTTTTTGGGGCATGCAACGCCTCAAAATTTGTTTTCCATATGTTGTTCGACTGTTATTACAGTCGAAGTACATGGGATGTAGCGGCCAAGTTGAGTTGTAATAGTGCTAGCAACATTAATATTTTTTAAGCAAAAAACAAATCTTTTGCATGTTTTGGAACTCGGTTTATAGAGATCAAGTGCTACTCACGACGGAGTAGAGAGTATGATGATGACAGAAATATGCAGTCATCTTTGGCGGAGTAGCAATTTGGTTCCAAACTCAATTCTAGTTGTCAATGTCAACATTGATGCTAGAGTTTGTAACATAGTTGACATTATTATTAATTCATAGAAAGAGTCAAACGTTTGTAGTACTTTCAAGTAACTTTTGATCATTGCTCAAATGCTCCAAAACTCATTGATTAGTATATTCACTATCAAATTTGAGAGATGACTCAACAAATGCTAGTAACAATACTCTGATTTTGAAGGAAGAATGAAAGTTCTTCGTGTGACACCTGGTGAATCTAATACTTTTTTGACTTCAACTAGGAGGATTGTAGATTCGCTCAGATCCTAGCTTTATCTTCAAAGCTTCACGCTACACTTTGTTGTCTTGCAAATTTGTTAGAAGTTGCATCTCTTGAATAGCTGGTTGTCAAATAAAGATTGGCTTGTGGTTTTGGTATGAACAATCAGACTTTCAAATTTGACCTTTTAGTTGGTTGTCAAATAAGAATTGGCTTGTGGTTTTGATATGTGTGTGAATTTGAATGATGAATTGAGTGAATATGTGAGAGTGTGTTTGAAACATGAGTATAAGGAACAATTCTAGCATTCTAGAACCATGATAAACTACCGCAAAGCCATTTGAGGTAAAATTTAGTGAGAGTCAGCCATGAGGTTGCAATATATGATACCCTGATCCATAGCTTTTTTGTTTGATCTTCCAAGTTGTTTTGAGGTTCAGGCTTTGATGGATTTCTGGCCGGTGAAGGTGTTTCTATGTTTTTAATCTACGCTGGGAGTTGGCATTTGCACGGGCTTTTGATGCTTTTCGATCCATTGTCTTTGCTCTTGCCTATGAGACAGTTGAGTAACACTGGCTTCAGTCTTTTCATGTTTTAGCACTGTTGAGCAATATATTGAATTCATTTTGCAATTTCTGGAGTTTTTCACCAATATTAAATTTTTCAGTGCAATTATTGACAAAACAAATCAAGATATATGTCTTTGGGATTCTTTGAGTAGTTCAAAGTAAAGCCGGTAGTCATTTCACACAAGAAGGTTTAGTAGCAAGGAAATTCCATCTCTTCCATTTTCTGTATATTTACTCTTACTTTTTGGAGATACCAACATGACATATACAATCATTCGTACATATATCTTGATTATTTGTATCATGACTAAATTCCTTCGGGTATACGGTTGTAGCATCAAACTGAAACAGATGGATCGAAATTCCAGAACAATGACATACTTCAACGGGCCTCACCGTGAGGCCCTCACGGCGTATAGATCAAATGCACTCTATATTGGAAGCAACGACGAATGCATATCCCCTCGTTTCCGTAGCTGGAAAAAGTCTGAAGGAAAATAAAAAGAAACACACTTTCCCGATTTAACGTCGGAGAAATTTCTCCCCGCAGCAACGTTGAAGTCAGCTGAGTGGCACGGGAAGAACGAAGAAGGCCTCCGTCGGTCGTCCGTCAGGTCCTGGCTGGCTCGGCGGGGGACAGTTCGGACGCTGCGGCGCACGCGCGTCAACTCTCTTGGGACTAGCCCCCGTGGCTTTGTTGCCACTTACTTGGCAGGGATTTGGAACCGGTAACTGCGCCTCTCGCTGCTAGTTCATTCATCGTTTTTTGGGGGGAGATTGGGGTCCCCGCTCGTTCGAGAGTTGCGCTCGCTCTGCGGGGTTTGTATTTTCGGCTTCTGCGCTTGCCTTTACTTTTCTTTCCTTTCGAATTGGTCCGTGGCTGACAGTTGACCCCTTGGTCTCTCTGCAGAGATTTGCGTGCCTCGACTTCGACATCTCTGAAGCGATCGAGAATCAGGCACGGGGTTCGCAATGTCTGTGTCCTTGAACGCTCTGAAGAACTATGTCAGGACCCCATCCAGCCAGAATCAGGCCGAGGATACGGTGCTGTTGCACGTCAGTCATTCGAATTTGAGATCGAAATTTGCAGAATTGCGGTTCGATTTGCATGTAATTCCCGCTCTTCCTTGTCAGTTCTCTGTTGGTCTGTCTGTATACGACAGTCACCGGACAGTAAGCAGCCGAGAAGCGACTTGTCAGTGTGTTTGACGGTTGTTTTTCAGAGATAATTTCGTTTTGGGAGCATCCGATTACAATTTGAAACGCCAGGTTTATTCTCAATTGCCTGACATCTCTGCTGGCTGTCTGGCAGACGACCATCGGGAATGTGAAGGAGAAGCTGAGATCTCACACAGGATCGGCTGTGGAGTCAATGCACCTGCAGCTATACGATGACGGTGGTGCTAAACTTTGCGACCTGGCCGAAGACCATCGCCCGTTAGGGTTCTACTCTCCTCTTGATGGGTATGTACACTGGCATTGGTGATTTTGAATGCCAATTTGTAGCCGTATTCTGGGAGTGCAGCAGCTCACACATGAGGTCAGGAAGTTCGAAGATAATGCAACGGCCTTTATGACCACGCAGCAAATATTAGATGCTGGAACTACCTGTTAAGAGGAGAATGTAGAGACCTCTGACCGATATCTAATGTACTGATGGTTGCGTTTCGTGTAGATGATCATTTCCGTTTGTGCTCATTATAGTGCCATAAAAAGGCTGGGTAGAGCTTCTCGGTCCTCTTTTTGTGCGAAAGTATGTGTGGGCGATATTATGGAGTCACACTGTCAAGGCATGCCTTCATGCATGCATGAATTCGATCCATTTCCTGTTCGCTTACCTCGTTTTTATTGGGTAAGTGGTCCACAGATACCGCATACACATTGTAGACCTTGACCCCACGTCATTATCAGCAGGGGGATGGTTGGAGGATACTTCACTGGTAGAGAAATACACAATCTCGGAAGACTCTTACAACAAACGTGATGGTAAGTGAGCTGCCATGGGAATCTCAGAGTTTTCTACTGCTCAGTAGTTCAGTTGCATTCTCCATCATGCAATCCTAACGTGAAGCATGGTTCCTTATTCTTGGAATTCGAGTGAAACAGATTTACCGTGAACGTGGTAATTGTATTGCACAAAAATCCGCAACTACCTTGTTGACCTCCCTAGCCCCGGAGTCATGCTGAATATCAGAGCTTTTAATTATGTGCTTTCAGATACATTCAGGAAATTCAAGGAGAAGAGACTTGCGGAAGACCCGACATGGACGTTACAAAAGGTTTTTATCTTTAAGCTAGTCCAACGATATCTGACTCAACTTCAGATCAACGATCTTCAGCTTTATAGCTTTTGAACCCGAACAATTTATGCCATGGATCTAGAGCTCCGTCTTCCTGTGCACGAGAGTCCTGTTGACTTCTTTTCATGTCATGTTTCAGGAAATGGCCCGAAGGAGGGGTTTACCTGTTCCACAGGTTTGTCATCTTCCTGAAATGATCATTTCGTTGTCACATTTCAGTGCCCCCGTAACAAGTTTCATATCCTGTAGCGATCATGCACTCATGGTCAAGGTTCTAAAATCTTTCGATTCCTTCAGATTAAGTAGCTGAGCCATATCAAAGCCGGTATTGTATGGCTAGATCCAGAATCGTCATGCTAAAGCTTAGATGTTTGTTTTTTATACTACTTTGATATTGACAACTCCAAGTCGCATGCCTTTTCTAACAGGAGAGCCAGCCAATTGATGATGATCACATGAAAGACGTTGCAGATGGAATCAAGGTAAGATTTGAAGCCCTCTGCCAATTTCCTCTCTCAAAAGCTCGAAATCATCATACGTTGTGGACTTGGAACATTGCACATGTCTTCGTCCAAACAGTCTCTCATAAGTTTTGCCCACTAGGGTGCAGATAGGCGACAGGTGTGAGGTGGACCCAGGAGGCAAGCGTGGAGAAGTGAAGTATGTAGGAAGGGCAGAGACCCTCGCACCTGGTTTCTGGGTCGGTGTTCAATATGATGAACCCGTTGGCAAGCATGACGGACTGTATGTTTCATCATCCTTTTCCTCCTTTTGAACATGTTTGGAGCACAGCCTGCTGAGTTATAATATCAGTTATTACGTTGTACATACACGCCAATACCCTCTTCAAAAGAATGATTTTTTCGTCCCCTTTTACCTCAACCTCGTTTAAAAGGCACTTGCAAGAAATAAAAAACATAGAATACTTCGTTGAAGTGCTCTCGTTCAACTGACTTTATTAATGTTACTTGTGACCACTTGTGCAGGGTTAAAGGAAAGCGATACTTCAGTTGTCCCCCACAATATGGTTCTATGCTACGCCCAGATAAAGTCAAGGTAAATATCACCCATCAAATGACGGTCGATCCTTTTGTCACTCAATATACAAGAAAACAAGAAAACAAGAAAACTCGAGTTGGAAATTATCTTCTCATTGCAGCAGTGAATATGAATATGTGATGCTCTGTAGAATCCCTTTGATGGTTTATGCTATCGCAACTCTGTACTCGAGATGCTGCGGTTTTCGTGATTCTAAGTGTTTTTTCTAATCGGATTGCAGGTTGGAGATTACCCCGAGCGTGATCCCTTTGAGGATGATGATGAGGAGATTTGAGAACTTTCTTTTGTAGCTTAGGAGATGCTTCAAGCACGCCGTGCAGCCAAAAGGCAATCAAGTATGGTCCGAGTTTGGAAAAGGCTACTCGGTAAAAGTGGAGATTTGTGGAGTTTCCCTACTTTCTGAATCTTTCATTTAGTAGGGAAAGCATTCATTGCTGTCTCTACGTCAAAAAAAGGTGGTGAGGCAGGACTGTGAAAAGGAAAATATCATGGACTACATTCTTACAGAGATTTTCACCCAGCTCATTGCATTAGCAAGGAATGTTGGCTGATCCTGGAGAACCTTCTTTATTTGCATAAGATGTCCTTCATGTGTTCAGCATTACTGCATTATCTCGACAGCTCTTCATGGAGTGTCCAATCCTTTCTCAGCGTCAAGCTTTCGTTCCGTGGAGTTAGGATGAGATATCCATTGTTGTAGATTTCTTATTGTTATCCAACATGCTTAGTAGAAGCAAGTACGACACCCTAGGCTACTTCTGTGGAAATCAGTGGTTCTGTCGTGTTTTTGGGGCTCCTGTCCTGGGACTATTTTGCATCAAAAAATTGGTCTTATTTCAAGACATCAGGATCTTGAAAGCCAAGTCACAGAAACCATGTAGTGTAAAATATTTCCTACTTTCGGCAGACAACTGAGAAGATGACCTGCTGAGGTCTGAAGTTTCTACGTCGAGATATCTCTGGTAGAACTAGAGATGGTTTTGACTATTTCGTCAGTTTAAGAGGTTGATAAATAAAGAGCAAAAAATTAAAATGGTTACCTAGTGTCCAGATAGATTTTGTCTATGCATGAATGTGCTTGATACTTATCTCTCTTGGAGAAGTTCCTGGACTAACATTGTGCTCCCTGGACCAGTGATTGTGCATGCTAATTTGTTCTTACATGTGTTCTGTTTAAGCATTGCTTTTGCGGTCTAAACGATTCCGGGTTCTAGCTTTGTCACTTTGGACTTCAACTACCCGCAGAAAAACACATCGGTAAATGTACTGACGGGAAATTTTATTTCATCAATTTCCCTATGTTATACTTCAAATTCGAATTCTATTGGCAGTGCAGAAAGTATTGTCGTGTTGAGTTAGCCCGTCAGAATTTGTGAAGTTCTTATTATGACTAAACGCCTTGGTCTTTGATGTAACATTGTCAGTGTCATTCACAGTTCCTCAGCTTGTGGGGATTGCTTGAATTGTGTCAGTATCAGTTTGAAGCATCTTTAAACAATAGGAAGTGTAGCAGGAGTTGAGGGAACAAATGGAGATTGTAAAGCTAAATCATGAAGATGCCGTGGAGACCATTTCATAGAGGATTGTGCTACAACGGCAAGGAAAGTCGTGTTGCAGGGGTGTAGTACGCACGTTACTCTTGCTCTCTGGCTTATTACTCACTTTCATTGTCACAAACACGTTGCCCTTCTAGCGGGGCATACTACATGCCTTGTGGTTTTGTATGTTTGTGTGTCCTCATTCATATGTTGTGAGCGATGCAAACGATATTTGAATGACGAATGGAGTGGCTTAATAAAGACAAAAGTGAAAAGGGGTGACAAAATACATCTAACTCTATGGGAAGCGCAAAACATATAAAGAAGCGACAAGAGCTGAGGGTTTCATTTTCATGATACATCCCAAGACAATGGAGAAAGGTTAATAAAGACGAAAGGAAATAGAGGCTACAGAATGCACATAACAGAAGGGAAGGGCAATATTGATCGAGGAACACATAAGAGCTTAGGGTGTCAAGTTCTTTAATTCGACGCAAGATAAGGAGTGTTAGTTTAGAAAATGACACAAATTACTTCCAATTACTTTTGTATAAAGTGTTTGAAAATTGAAATTGTCTTTGGATGAGAGAGTACAACCAGACGATTTTCATAACCATAAGTTTATTAGAGTTGTGGAGCAATGGCTTATTCTGCGATATATATTTTGCTCTTCATTTTGTCACAATGAAAAGTTTGGTCTACTCTACAATTTGGAAGAGGGGAAATTTGAGTATATTGAAATATCTGAAGTAAGATTAGTGCCCATATGGCTAAATTGGATCTAAATAAAGAAGTGGATGTAATAACCCACCAAAGGCTAAAACTGCAGTATGGTGGTAAAAAGATCGAACCCACAGGGACAGAGGCAACACACAGAGTAAAAGTGTCACATTTAACAGACTTTTGGTAGAGTTTGAATTCTAGGCGACTGTCACTCCCAGAAATACTGCAGTGCTCGACTCGGAGGCTCGACTCGGAGGAGGATCTCAACTCGGAGGATGCTCGGAGGATGCACGGTACAGCTTGGTCACTCAACACACACACACACACCTGAAACTGGCAAAAAGCACAACTCGGAGGTCGGTCAGGACCTCCGCTTCGGATTTCAGGAGGAAAGTGTCTCGCAAGTTCACTCAGAGGTTCTGCAGGAAGTGCCTCCCACTCCGGCTTTTACTGCCCTTCCGCCAGGAACTAGCGGGGGTACCCGGACTGGACTTCTCACTTCGGAACGAAGCCTCTACGTACGCCGTGGACGTCACCCTCGACTATCACACAAAACGCAGGGAGTGCAGACCCGACTGAGAACTTACTGAAAACACGATCCAGTAACACACACACAACCTGAATTACAAACCAAGGTTTACACGAAGTAATGAAACTTCACATTGGCATTCAGGGGAAACTTCCCGTAGGAGTACAATCAGGATATGTCACTCGAAGGAGTAAGGGGGAACTGTTCAAGTATCTAACTCGCAGCCGGCTCTGAGTATCAGAAATCACCCGCAGGTGCAGATCCGCACTACTCAAGTCTCTAACCGGGTACTAGCTCTGAACATTCAGCCGAAGGCCTTCAACTACAACATACGGTAACTTCGCTATGCTGCAGCTTCTCTACGTGGTGCCAGGACCAAAATGCACAAACACGCCAAGAAAGTGAGTTCCTGATCTGCACTTCCGAAACTGGAAGAGTCCCAAGGCAAAACGCCTTGATCTACTTTATACTCTCAAAAGATCCTAACTAGCACTACGCTATCCTATCTACCACTCGCAGCATCTGCGCGAAACCAAACTACTCTACTGCACTCAGCAGATCCGGTGCTGCGCCTCCTGCGCGCCGGACTGCTCCGCTTACTGTCTCTACCTTGCCAGTCTTCCGACCGGCTGCGTAACCCCAGGCGTCGGAGCGCTGCAGTGACTTCCGACTGCAAGTGCGCCATAGTGTCGCGCGCACCCGACAAGAAAGTTTCTAATTTTCTCGCCACTCGCCGCCGACTCCGACTGTCACCTTCCGTCAAGGCCGCCGCCCGAAGCTCGAACTCCCGGAGTGTAACCCTCTCTTGAGCTGCCACCTCCCAATGGGTGTATCCGTTTAGACAACGAGTCACCCGTGCCGCCAACTCTCCTCGTGCCCTGCAGCTGCTCTCCACCTCTGCCAGCTGCATTTCTAAATCCGCACGTTGAGCCCTCAAATCCGAGCACTCGGTTTGCAAGTTGCACAACAACTCCTCATCCTCCTTGCGGGCTCTTTGACTTTCCTCTAAGGCGCGCGTCTGGCGCGCAAGCTCGGCTGCTAGGACTTTGTTCTGTCTCCGCTCCTCCTGCAGTTCCGACTCGATCTTTGCCCGTATTAGTTCGGCCTCCGCCTGACTCTTCGTCGCCGCATCCTCCTTCTGCTGCTGCAAGGCTTGGTACAGCTTCTGGGTGACCGCCAGGTGTTGTCGGAGGGCGGTGTTCCTTTCCACATATACTTGGCAACTAGAGGCCCACTTTGCCACCTTGATCCTCGTCCTTCGCCTGATAGTCTCCACATAAGACTGCGGTTTTAAGGCACTTCCGTATTTGGATGTCTTGCGATCCAGATATCGCAGGAGTGGAACTATCTGTTCGCACAGCACCCCTGTTGGCGTTTTCTGCACCGAATCCTCTTCTTGCTCTTCCGAGCTCGTCTCATCCTCAGTCTCGAGGATTTCAGTCGCCACCGAATCCCTTGGCGACTCCCTGGAACTGTGGCGCGCAGCAGCTTCTGCTGCGACTGCTGCTCCACTGCCTGCTAAAATATCCAGGGCAGTGGGAGATCCCACTGCTTGAGCCCCTGTTCCGGCTCGATCTTCGGTTTGTGAAGGGGTCGACGCCGCAGTGACTTTTGTCACTCTTGCACCGCCCGCTTCTGCTGCCTGTCCTTCCGGCACAATCTGCGCGGAAGGTGTCCTTGCTGAGGGTGCGTCCGCCGAAGGCGTCCGCACACTGGTCGTTGGCCCCATCCGTCTCGCAGTCGGCGAATCCGGCTGACTCTCTGTTGTCCGACTCGCAGTCGGCCGACCAGCAGTTGTCCGACTGGGAGTCGGATACACCCTGCGCGTCTTGACTCCACTTGGCCTGCTTGCTGGTGGCGTTCTTCCAGAAGTGCCTTCCGCCGAAGACGACCCTCTGAGGATTGTTGGCTCGTCAGCCAAACTCTCTTCTGCTTCCGGCCTGCTGTCCGGTTCAACGCGCCGTTCAGTTGGCCTTCCTTCCGCTTGTCGACCTTCAGTCATCCGACTCGCAGTCGGCCGGCTGTCAGTCCGTCCATCTCCTCCCGAAGGCCGTGGTGCCTTCTGTGCAGAGGTTTCTGCCGTCTTCCCTAGGACCTGAGCAATTATCTCTTCCTGTGTGAGATTCCGCCGGGTCGGAGTTCGCCTGGTCTCCTCAGTAACAGTTGGCATTCTGCGTGCCCTTTGTTTTGGTCGACTGTGAGGCTCGGGGGTGGGCCGACCACGAGTCGGCGCAGCTGGTACTTCCGGCTGCCTGTCCTCAGGTCTCTCATCCCACTTCCGCTTGCGCGGAATGCGCTCACTTCGACGTTCTTCTGCTGCTCTGGCTGGAGCCGGAGCCGGAGGCGTACTGGCAGGTTCCTCGTCCGGATCCGTGTCTACTTCGGCCTCCCTCGAATATCTACCTGGATAAGACCGGCTCAGCTGCGGAAACCGAGTTTTCTCAGCATTCGTCAAACATCCCATCGCCCGGTAAAACACGATTAAGTAAGGCGATAGATGATTGAGCGTTCCTCCCCTCTCTTCTTGCGCATGTTGGCGCGTCACCTTCCACAGGAGCCGTGCCCAATGCACCGGAGCTCCTGACAACACTAGCTCCACGAACTCTACCTGCCAACCATGCATGTAAGCGGTCTTGGTCGGCTGCAATATCTGCAGCAATGCCGTCGCGACATTTCTCCGCAATCGATCCTTGTAATCCCGAGTCCGGAAACCGTTCTTGGGATGTCTAGCCACCTTGAAGAGCTCATTGTAAGAGACTTCTTCCTCCTGGGACACTTTCACGCTGTCGGCCTCGAAGAGGAGGTCCCCTTCCTCGCCGGCACACCTGCCCAACACCTGCGCCCAATTGCAAATTTCCCACCTCTCTGGGTGTGGGCGAAATCCGCGAGAAGGCTTGTGTCTCTCTTGCAGATACTCGCGCACCATCTCCGGACATGTCCAATTCCACCCCCAGAGGAGAAAATCGAGCTTCAGCCTCGTCAGCACATCTTGAAATGCGCGTAGACCGATCTGCGGCACCCTGAGTGGAGACACTCGCAGTTGGGGAACCTTCGACATTGCGTTGCCTGCACACACAAACGTTCTCCCTTTCGCTCACTCTCTCACAATCGCCACTGTGCGTCGGCCACTCAAGCACTGACTGCTCACTCTCTCTGCGCTCGTTCAAGATCGCTACTCACAATTCTTTCAAGGTCCGCCAAGATCCTTGCGCAACTCGTCTCCGCACTCTCTACTCTCACTGCAGGTC